TGAAGATAATCAAGTATTCCCGAATCACGTCATCGTAATTAATAGTTAAGTTGGTGTGCATGGAAACGTAGAAAGGATTCCCGACGTCAGCTTCTCTAATAAACCAGTGGTCACGCTTGCGTTCGAATTCATCACTTCCCGCCACAGAACCGCTCACTTTTCTTAGTTTGTGTCTTTCACTGGTTTTTCCCATGGGCTTCGTTCGTTAGAGTCCCGTTCTGATCCGGTAGCAGCTAAACGGCGACGGAAGAACGTCTTCCCTGTGGGTGTTACTGAATTCCAAGGGTTTTTCCTTTCCGGCTGGGAGGTTTTTTTGAATTAATACCCATTTTGAGCAACTTCAAATGTGTTATAATCCATTCTGATAGGCTTACCAGAACTTGCATTAATAATCGGCGTGTCGGGGTCAAGTGAATGGTGTTTGCCTAGTGTTGTGGCTCAGAGTGCGAATATTCGGGTAACTGGTTAAATCTCGACACTCCCACATCTCCGGCCAAGGTTATTCGAGATAAGCGCTAGATTGCTGAACGCCAATCGAGTATGAGCATAAGGGAATTCGACGAATTGTTTTCAATGGAGCAAATAACTTCCAGTATTTTGTTAGGGCGCGGGCTCAACCATTACTGGAAATCCGTCCAGGAAGAGAACGCATGGCGTATCAGAAAAATTCATCGGCATTAATGCTTCCAATGAGGGCGAAGCTAGGGCAAATGGTGCCATTAACACGTATACATATGGTTCGATATCAAACTCGGGATGGGATATCTCCAGAACCAACTTTAAGCGAGGGATTTTCGATAAGATTGGGTTGGAGTTAAAGGGGGGGGGGAGGGTGAATAATGCTACAGGGCGAAAAAGGCCGAGAAATCTGTCGAGATCGCAAACAAACAGCTCCTTAGTTGCTGCCCGTTTATTGCCAGATATCAAGGGACCCCTTTGTTTGTCCCTTGATCTCCGGCAATGAACGGGCAGCAACTTAGGAGGGGGTTGTTTGCACCTATGAACCCAATAGCCACCATCATGCCAACAACCACCATATCTTGATTGACAAGGCATTTTGCACAAAAGTTAGAAGATGCGGCTGCTCGAAGTAGAATACCCTTTCAAGATGACACCCAAAGGATGCCGCTACTAACAAGGCACTGATGAGCGGAGCAGAGACGGGGGAAGAGCACGGAAAAGTCTTGATATCCCAGTGCGCTGCAAGTAGCTCACCTTTGGTCGCGAAAAGCCCAATCCCGCTTCTTTCGGCTCCAAGCTGCTGCTTTCACTGGTGCATTTACTTCCATGCTGCACGCACACTTTGTCGTGATCCCTCATTTTACCCTTCCTATCCTTTGAAGTTGGCTATCAGGTACCAGACTCGCTGAACAAATTGAAGGCGTTGATCGAACATCGGTCGACCTCGACCTTTGCAAATTTCTCTCTAATTGAAGAAATCTTTCAGAAGCCCGTTTAATTCTGAACAGAAGTCGAATGGCGCATTTTAAAGCTACTTTGGTTGCAAATGATGAGCTCCAACTATAGGGCAAATAAAACTTATGTTGATCTTTCACCTCGCTGTTCGTGATGTAATCGCCTCCCCCCGCCATAATGCACTAGGGCATATAGTTTTTGAGGCTGCGGCGATGCTCTGACGTCAAAGCGCTGTCTACTAAGCTGTCCACATCGCCGACGAACGAACAGCAAAAACTGCTGATTGCACCATGCGGACGTCATCGACCGGCCATTACGCTATGATGGTGGGGCATTTTGCAAAGGCGTTCAGAACCCCATCAACAGTGACGATTTGAACCATTATTTTACCAGTGATGAGCTTGAAGTGCAGGCTATCTGCACACTTACCATCATTTTGAAGGGCTGCGAAGTGCAGACCGTTCAATTGGAGTCGTGCCAATGCAGAGCATCCAATTGGATGTGCTGGAATTTACTC